AGGCTGTCGACAGAAAAATGTTTTTTATGTGATGATAGACTTTCTACAGATATATAACAAAAATTAAAATTTATGCTACGACTGCCTACAGTTATTATACAAAGGAAATTATGTACATTGAGGGGTGAATTGGGACGAGTGAAGCGGCTGACGAGGTAAAGTAGACAAGGTACAAAATGCCAATTGCCTTCTTCCGCAGATGAAGGAGACTCGCGCGCCCTTGGTGGCCCTGGGCCTGGTGGTGGCGGCGACGCTCTTTGCCTCTGTGCTGGCAAAGGGCGGTGACCTGGCCACACGACCTCGGCAGGGGAGAGTTGACCTGCCTGCACATCCCCTGTACGCGTCCCTGCCGAGTGAGAACCGCAGGGTGCTCACGCTCGGCGAAGGCGACGAGCTGCCCAACTACGTCTATGAGGATGACGAGGACGAGGGCGCGGCCGCCGGGGAGGACGTCGTTGGCTCCTTCGGTGACTCCGTGACGGTGAGTTCATTTCTCGGCTTTTATTGTGGTTGATTCAGTAAGGAACAAATGAACTGATATAAGCCTATGAGTATATTTGTTAAATATGAATATACAAGAAAACTTACTTCTCACCCTTAAAAAGAAACCATAAGACAATCAATTAGCCACAGAGCCTTCCTACATTCTCCAATTATCACAACCATATCTATTTTGGATTTATCATTTGATAAGAAAATATTTTGAAAATCATAAAAATCTCTGACTCCGAACAGCCTCTCTTCACATGAAACAAAAGCGAAAAGCTCATTAACCCCCCCCCTCCTCCAGGGCTACAACCTGCCCGACTCCTTCTCGTCGGCCCCCTCCTACGCCGACCCGTCCCTCCTGTCGGCCGTGATGCAGCAGGCGGAGCAGGCCAACTTCAGGTGCGTTTAGGCCTTTGCAAGTGGAGTGTCTTTCATATGGAAGGGAATGAAAATTGTTTTATTGGGTGAATCATGATTATCAATATCATTGTTATAATTATCACTATCATTATTGCTGTTTTACGATTAGTATTTTTCTCTCTCTCTCTCTCTCTCTTCTTCCTTCCTCCACCGTACTCTTATGAATACCTTCTGTGCCATCCTTAGCCGCATCCCCACGCCCCTAAGCACAGCCCTTTCCAGGTACCCGCTGGCCACACCCGCCGCCCTCCGGCCGACCAGGCGGCGTCGGGCAGCGTGTCGAGCCCTTCGCAGGCCACCGACAACGACCTCAACGCGTACTCGCTGTTCCCGCCTCAGTTCCATGAGCTACTGGCCATCCCGCTGCACGTGTACAAGAACGGCTCGACGTACAACCCGCACGGGCGGCCGCACCACGTGCCCCTGCGCCCCTTCATCTCCAAGGGCTACGCCAACACCAAGATCCAGGGCGGGTCCAAGGTGCGCGTCCCCGAGAAGCAGGACACGCCCCACGTCGCTTACAAGCCCAAGCCCGTGTACGAGGACGCCCCCAAGCGACCCACGACCAAGTACCAGACCACGACTCCCGCCCCTACCACCTCGACGACTACCACCACGACGACGACCACGCGTCCTCCCCCGACGACTACAACGGACCAAAGGCCGAGACGACCAACTTACGTCGCCCCTCCACGACCATACCGACCGACTGAAAGTACGACGACCGAGACATACGACGAGACGACCGTTCCCTACTACTCCCGACCCTCTAGCCTCCCCTTCCGCCCGCCCACCGACTCCTCCCCGGCCAGCCCGAAGCCGACCCGCAGAGACCCCCCCGCAAAGGTGTCGTTTAACTACAAAAGACGACCCACCATCCCCAGCGACCTCCCCCTCTCAGGTACACCCGACGCCCCTCCACGTACACGACGCCACCACGACCGAAAGACCTACAACCCCCCACGCCCCACGACCACCCGACGCCCCACGACCACCCCGCCCGCACGACCTTCCTCCGCACGACCTCCGCCCGCGCCGACCACCACTCGCCGCCAGCCCGACTTCAGCTACGAGACGTTCAGGGTGACATCGAAGCCCGCCGCTGCGCCCGCCCCGGCTCGCGACGCCCTCCCGCCTTCGTCCCGCCCAACGTCCGACGGCCGCCCACGCCCCACGCCCGTACAGCAAGACCGCCCGACCGCAGCCGTCCAGCCCAAGCCCACGCGCGTCGAAAGGCCGCAGGAGGAGAGAGTGGTCGAATTCCGCCCCTCGAAGCTCGACCCGTTCCTCCCCCCGAGCCCGCCGCCCACTACGTACCGCCCGCCCGCCGCCAACAAAATTACCCCCCAGGGCGCGCCGCAGCAGCTTCCTCCGGTAGTCAACACCTTCGTGCAGCCCACCACGGCGCCCGAGTCCTCCCTCCAGCTTGGCCCCGGCTTCTCTCGACCGCCTCCCTCCTCCACCTCAGCCCCCTAGCAGGCCTTTCATCCCCCACCTCCACCTCGACCCCCACCCGCCCACTCTCTTCCTTGCCCCCATTGCCCTCGGGCCGCCCAGTTCCCCCTCCTTCTCCTGCGTCTCCTTCCAACCGCCAGCCCTCCCCCCTCCTCCCTCTGGACTCCCAGCCCTCCCTCCTCCTCCCTCCTCCGGCCGCCCAGCCCTCCCCCCTCCTCCCTCCGGCCGCCCAGCCCTCCCCCCTCCTCCCTCCGGCCGCCCAGCCCCCCCCTCCTCCCTCTGGACGTCCAGTACTCCCTCCTCGCCGCCCACCCGCTGCCCGCCCTGCCCTTCCGCCTCCCTCCGTTGGCTCTCCACCTGCTACCTCCCCCTCCGCCCACAGGCAGCGGGAATAAGCCCGTCCCTCCCCAGTTCTCCTCTCGCCCACAGCCTCAGCGCCCCCTCGAGAAGCGTCCTCCTCCTCCTCCTCCTCTTCCTTCGCCTTTCTCGAGACCCGCCGAAGGCCGCCCAGTCTTGCCTCCAGCCTCCTTCGGGCCCCCGCCTCGCCAGCCCGCCCGCTCGTCGCCGCGTCCTTCGCCTGCCCAACTGCCCGCCCCCGTCCCTGGCACCAAGAAGCCGACCCGCCCCTGGAAGGACGGCGCGCATGCCACTCACTTCCAGATCATCGAGGTTCCCGAGGCCTCGCCGCCGCGCCCTCAGGACGTCGCCGACCAGCCTGATCCCGGCTTCAACCTTCCTGCAGAAGCTGACAACCTCCCGAGACGCCCGCAGGCCCCACCGGCGAAGCCCGACCTGGACGGAGTGAACGTCCTGCCACGGTTCCGCCCGAACGCCCCCCCGCAGGAAGAGACTTTCGGATTTCAGGACCCCCCTAGGAGAGTCTTCAACACGCGCCCCCGCCCTCTGCGCCCGGACAGACGCCCAGTGCTGAGCAAGCGCCCATCTTTCTTGGAGAACTTCAACTTCTTCGGTCGCACGCCCGTTGACCGGCGGCGGGGCGAGACGGGCCCTCTGGTGGAGACCAACAACGCGAACGTTAAGGTGGGCACCAAGCAGCCCGAGGGCGATGCGCTTCGCTACAAGCTCCACCACGGCCCCGTCCCCAACAACGCGCAGAAGGTCGTCGTGATCGGGCCCTTCAACCAGCCTCCGCCCGGTGCGCCCATCATCCCCCTGCCAGACAAGGAGGTGCCGCCTCCCGTGGCGCCCAAGAATCCCGGGCTACTCCCGCCTCCTCCTCCTCCTGCGCCAACTCGAAGAGTCTCAGCTTCCCAGACGAATTCTGGAGCCGTCAAAAGTCCGGAAACCCACATCCCTCCTCCTCCCCCTCCTCCACCAGCAGGCCGTCCTCAGGCCCCCAAGCGAGCCCCTGCCCCTCTTCCTCCTCAGCCGCTCATCCAGAAGCCGCCGATGAGCTCCCAGGACCTGCCCGAGAAGCCAGCTCCCTTGGTCGTCTACAGCGAGAATGAAAAGGAAGACAAGAAGACGCACTCTGACGTTGAGACTTCGGCAAGCAAGAGCGGCGCGCAGGGCCCCTCGCCCAACGCCTCCCGGACTGCCTTCGGTCCCAGCGCCCCTGAGGAGGTGAGCGAGGAGCACAAGGAGGCCATCATCGCCGGCAGAATCAGGTTCCCGGCTTTCTCCGGCGTCGAGCGCTCCGACTCGGGCAGCGTGGGCCTCCCCCCCGGCGCCATCCCCATGCCTGTGCCCATCTTTGACGGCTCCAAGCTGGTGGTGCCCGCCCACCACCACGCCTCCCGCCGCGTCCTGCCTCCCCCAACTCCCAAGCCATCTCCCTCGTCCTCCTTCTGGTCTTTCCTAGGCTTCGGGTCCTCCAAGCCCGCCCCGCCGCCCGTGGCAGCTGACAGACGAGTTGTTGTGAGCCCTCCCGCGCCGCACTCGCCCGCTCGCGTCCCTTCGCAGCCCGCTAACTATATCCGCCCTCCGCCGCCCTTCAGGGCTCAGCCTCAGCAGGGAGTGACTTCCAAGCCCAGGCCAGTCAACAACCCACGCCCACAGCCCTTCTACACCAGAACGGATCGCCCCGCTCCCGCCACGGTCCCGCGTCCTGCGCCACCCGCCCAGCCAGCCTCGGCCACGCGCCCTAACCCCCCGGCGTTCGTGGCTCCGTTGACACGCCCTGAGGCTACGCCCCGCCCCTTCAGCCAGAGCCCTCCATCGACAGAACCAAGACCTGTCTATAGACACACCTCTACAGCTCCCCCGCCCACTGTACCCACGACCACAACCCCGACCACGACTTCCACTTCCACTACCACCACGACCCACCGACCCACGACCACCAGATCACCGCCGTCGCCCTCTCCGCCCACGACCTCACTGCCCGTGACGCCCATGCGCATCACAGAGTACAACCCCTACTTCGCTAATGCACCACAGTACGATGAGAATCATCGGGGCGGATTCAAGCCACCCACGCTGCAGTCTTCCTCTTATGATGGCTGGAGGGTCGTGGGCGTGCCGTCCACCCCCCTGGAAGGACAGGGCGACTCGCTCAGTCCCGTCGTATCCTTCGTGAAGGAGAACACACCCGAGATCATCATTAGGGCGCCCACGCAGGAAAGCAGCGACGACGACATAGTGACAGGCGTGATCAGCGACAGGATGGGCGAGGTCGCCGACGGGGACCAACTCGTCCAATTTTCGTCGCAACTCAACGTAGAGACGCCGGGAATCGTCCGAAGTTACTGGGTCGAGCCGCCGTCCCTCGCCTAAGGCCTCGGGGAAGTGAGGGAGGGAGGGAGGGAGGGAGAGAGAGAGAGAGAGAGAGAGAGAGAGAGAGAGAGAGAGAGAGAGAGAGAGAGAGAGAGAGAGAGAGAGAGAGAGAGAGAGCCCACATCCCTCCTCCCAAACGTACCCTGAGGTCGACCCGTCATCCCGAGGTTGACCCAGGAGTCTCCAGCTTCAGCCCCGAGAGCGCAACGCCGCTGGTCTCCGGAGCTTCATAGGAGTCGGGTTCTCATCGAGGATTCAGCGAGTTCCTTAAATGCTAATTCTCTCCACAGGATTTCGGCGCTGGCGCTGCGGAGATTCATCGGCGACTCTATCATGACTTATGACAACATTACCCACGTGACACTGTGAGAGACAAGCAAACAAACAAACTAATGAATTGAAACACACTAGTGACGTGTCCTAAAACGAGCATTCATGTTGACGTTTCGTCCGAGGATTTTTTAAATTAGCAACAATGGACAAGAACATTAGTTTATGCTCAATATACATAATTAATATTTCCTAGAATCTAACTTCGTTGGAAATTAATACTGAGGGGATTTCTTGCCTTGCAAAACTTGACACAAAACTAGTGACTGTGATAGAACATCGACTTCCGTAACACCATCAATGGGGGAAGAAGAAAAGACAGGAAAATAATGACGTGCTCAAGGGTGACATACATTTTTTACATACCGAAAATAAGCAACTGACCTTGTATGAGACTGGACTTTGACCTCAGCCACATTATTTGGGACACTGGTGACCCAAGGTTTATTCCGAGAGAGTCATATTTATTTATCACATTTTCACTCTTTTATCCATTGAATTATTTATGTTCATCCACTCGCCTATTTATTATATATTTATCTGTCTATCTACTTATTTATCTACTCACGTATTTATCTATTCATCTATTCATTCGTTTACGCATTCATTAACTTATCTCTTAATTTATTGTTATTCATCTTTTAATTATTCACACATCTATTTATTTGTCTATTTATTTCATTCTCATCTATCATTTAACTCACCCAAACTATACACAGTGAAATTCATCCTGATACATTTACACAAATAGAAACAAGATAAAACAAGCATTCATCTTCGTGCCTTTACAAATACTTTGGCCTTTAAATATACACGAAAAATAAAGGGAATCAGAATCTACACAGGTCCAATTATAAGGTTTTCGGATCTCCTTTTGTCCTCTATTTTGGCTGCTGGTCGAACCTGTCTCGGTGTGCATTTCAAGCTTCATCTGTCTTTCGCTTTTTTACTCTCTAATTTGAGTTATGCTGCTACGTGTTATACTTTGTCTCCTTTTTGTCTGCTTTATTAGTTTGTTTTTCCTTTGGTGTCTTGTGGTACTTCTCACTAGACTGTTATTTCACCCGACGCGTTATGACTGGATATGTTTATTGTCATGGACTGACCACGTTCTTTTCTATTGTTTCAGTGTTATTTTGAGGGAGAATGTACTCTTATTAATCTATGTTGACAGAAAGTTGCAGATTTTCTTGTGCCAGATGATATGTACAACGTGACTGAATTGTTTATTCGGCGACCATGACAATTTAGACTCGCAGAGCCACTATTAGCCAAAGTGTACTGTAGCCCAATTGTAACGTTGCGCTTGATTTCATTTATATTGTGTTCATCAATATTCAGTGTATTGTTAGACTGTCTACTCGATCTCAAAATTTAAAAATCAAAAGTATATGACTTTTGATAAGGTTTACAATCCTCAAACTCAGTTTTAGTCTCTTTAATACTGACGATGGAAAATATATGACTGACACCGAAATGACATGACATCATCGAGACGTGATAACATCCAGTGACATGACAGTGTAGTAACGTAAAAGTTGTGACACACATTTTTATTTCTCTTGTGGACGAAATAGGCAAGTGCTAAACAAAATACGTCAGAAACAGACGTTACAAGATTGACGAAAAAGAGAGAGGAAAAGTGACGCGAAAGGAAATACTGTAATGAAGTGACTTGACGCACGCTAGCTTTGGCGGCATGGACTATATCTGACATGACCAGATTTTTACGCCAGAAGCACGTGAGGTCATCCGCCTCCTACCAACCATCCCTCCCCACTCCCCCACACCCACACCTTTATGTAAATACACAAATAAGTTCAAGATATGAAACTGTCGACGGAAAATTAAATAATAGTGGCATTCAAATTCACGATTTCCACTCCTTTTTTATGGAGATTGTTGATAGATTAAGTTTAAATGTGTAACCGAATATTTCGGTACCAAAATGTCATTTTCGTTTTTATTAAATGAAAAGTATTGACATACTTAGCAGTAACTTTTTTTCAGCATTTCTTCTTGATTATTAAAGAAGCAGTTTTTGTTAAAACACCAAAAGAAAAATTATAAAATGTGTTACCTGATATTTTAATCCATGATGGAATACATTTAACACTGCTAAATAGGTCATACCTCTGTTATCAGCGCATATTTGGCATTTTTAAATCATAAGGTCAATGTGTCACTAGTTATAAGTGCCAAGAATAAACGTAGGGACAAAATATTTTTTGTCTACGTTTTTAATTTGTATTTTGGTACTGGACTATGAATAAAACCACCCACACTGTCTTGTTGTAATGTATTTTGATGTAGAATAATTTGTATGCACAATTAATGTTGATTGTTATCAAATTTCCTCTCTTGATTTGTTCAAAACACCTAATCTCAAATCTCACAACAAAATATTCGGGAACTGTGTCCTCTTCCTCAGCTGCAGAAACAGTGATGTCTCGGCATCTGCTCAGAAATCTTATTTTGCACTGTAGTTTGGTCACGTGACCTTGTATGTACGTACAGGGCCAAGTACATATATTCTGTATGCGAATATTCATACACGTTCTTCTTGTCTCTCAAGGGTCAAGGGTCATCATACTGCTTTTTTTATAAATACGCAACAGATCTTTACACTATGTAGTAACCCAACGAAAACTAAAGATGGTTGTCAATGTGATATTCCTAAATTGCATAGATTCCTCTTAAATCAGCTAAAGAATTGGCAATAAATATATAGTAAAAGCTGGTAAATAAATATATAGTAAAATATACCGTTTCTATTAGCGTTCAACACTGGTAATTGCCTTTTGTAACACATTAATAGTTATTTTCGGCCTAATGATTTTTACCATCTGTTAATAAATAACAGCGATTTCATGGTTATGTATGAGACTGAGAATACATTGTAGTTCAAATTATGAATTCCAAAGTACATTTTGAACACAAATTACAAAAGATGGTTATATAACTGCTGAAAGTGTCGACACAGTTCCAGAAGTTAGATAAGGTGCTAGTAACAAACAAAGAAAAAAGCGGGATTTAAGCATCGGATACAATGATAAATTCGGCTTTTGTTGGACTTTTCCGTAATTAAAAGGAAAAGTGAGAAAAGAAATAATTTTGAGAGGAAACCTAGTTTGTACATAGTATCTCCATTTATTTATTACCATTTTGATGACTAACTACCGATTTATAATAAAAATCATACTGATGATGATGAGTTTTATTCTTGTACCATCAAGTATTACTTCTTACGGTGAAGTCACATGGATCTGTAAACTATTTTCTCTTCTTAATAGACAAAAACAAACATAAGTACAGATAGATTAAGTATGAAATTCCATCATGGCCCTTCTTTGGCAAAAAATTGTGACTGAGATGAGCCCTCTAAAAAGATAGATATTTTACAAAATTTAGCTTCACTTTTTTCACCAATGAAAAATACATATTTACCCATACTGTTAATTGACTAAAAGGACCTCTCTTAGATACCAATTTAAATCTAAATGCATTTACATTAGATTTTGTTTATAATTACTTTTTTCTAAAAAATATTCCATTGTGGCTCTTTACCTTGATATCAGTATTTTCCTAGTCCTGCTAATGCTACATTACTTTCATCAATATCTTTCAAAACATTTCCACCCCATTCAAAACTTCTGAAAAATATCTACCACTACATCAGTATAATTTATATTTTAAAGTATACAGAATCATATTACTCACAAATGTCAACTTATCAAAAAGAAGAAAAAACGTCAAACTACACTATTACTGATACACATATCATACCCTCTCTTTTTAAGATTAATACAAGGTAATTCCTGCAAGAATTCTTTACCTATAAAAATAATCTTTTAATTCAGTAACTCTTCTTAACATACTTCCCCAAATTTATGGCCTTTCATAAATGTTTCTTCAGATCTCTAGCTTTTATCAGAAAATAAACATCTAAGCCTGAAATAGACCACTGCTTACTTTTTATCTGTCTCTTTAATCAAGAAAATATACAAGAAAAAGAAAAACATGGTACAAATACTACATGACCATTGTCCTGAGTGTTCAAACATAATTTTATATATTTTATCTACTTCAATGGGGATTTTGAAAAAATGGACTGAGTATGCCCATGCTTTTAGGAGAAATTTCAGGCCTGAAGTAAATACAACTTTGGCCATTCTGCAGGCAGATGGTCCTCCTAAGAGATGGCTTGATCAAGAAAACTACAGTGCACCAGTGTCCAAGCCACTTGGAAAACCACATAATTACTAAGATTATAACAAATATGTTTAGTTATGTTATATTACTGCTTTCTATATTTCTTACCATCATGAGCAAATCCAGAATGTTTGGGAGACTTTCTATATATGGATAAAATGCTTCACTCCCCCACCCCAACATGCATTTACTGACAGTTCCACATACTGCATCAACACACATATACTCATGTGTTTTTAAAAGAAGGCATGTAGTCACAGCAACATATACAGAATCAATACACATGCAAGCTCATGTGTTTTTAATGAAGGGATGTATAGAAGGTTCAGTAAAGGCAAAACAAACTGCTGACTAATAACAAACATGTTTATTAGTAAATGAAACCTTAACACAAACTTGCTTTTACTTTTCCTTTCTGAGCAAATAAGAGATCTATTTCTGAACATTCCTACAGATGGCCAAATAATGAAGCTGTTTAACATTGGTTGGGAGGAATGGATAGGCCATGAAGTGCAACAAGTATTTGTCGACAGCCGCCTATGGGGTCAAATTTAAGGCCACAAGTTTTAAAAAGCATTACAAAGAAAAAAGAAAAAGAAAAAAGGAAAATTGAATTAATGAAAAAGGAAGTTTAATTAAAAAAAAATAATAAAGATAAAATATTAATTATTACAATAAAATAATTTAAAAAATCAAAACAAAAAAATAATTAAGCGTGAATTTTGTCGGTGTATTCACATATGATAGAGCCACGCAGCTAATTTGTGATCTTCCATAAGCTTTGTCCAGCAGCTTACAAGATCAGGAAACCCTGTTAAGCTGCCAAAGCTGCAGTTTAGGTAAAAATTATTTCTATCAAATTCAGGTCTAAAGCATAAACCTCATGGAGGGCTATGAAGCCTGAAGTGTAACATGTAGTCTTCCATTTAAAACAAGACCACTTCACCAATCACTACATCACGCGTGTAGAGAAGAAATACTTGGTTTCTCTATCATTTTTCCTCGGGGTTACAGAGCACACAGTAACCTTTGAGCATGAAGGAAATGTTTCTCCACACCCAAGATGGGGTGGCCTTTGCATATGATGCAAGATCCACCCATTAAAAAATCTATAGAGACAAATGAAGAGACGAAGAGTGGGACCTGATCCTGAACTGGAAGCGTCCAAGACCTTCCCAATTGATGTGGACAATGCTTTAAGAGTCCGCTCCTCCCCCTCCTTGTTCTTAACGCTGTTTTGCCCCTTACCAATGGAGTCATTTATTAACCTTTTTCTATCCATAAAGCACTGGGTTTGTGTATATACAAATGAAAGCTTTTAAAAGCCAAACAATAGCAATTGATGTCTAAAGTAATATTACACTAAATGAAGTCATCGTACTCATTATATCCATAGTCGTTGCCAACATCATCCTGCAATACAGAAAGAAAACATTATGAGCAACTATATTTGATTCTCTAAAAATAAAATCTAACATCATTACAGCATAAAAATTAATGATGCAAAATGAAAATCAAAGGTAATAGGATAACATTATCATTAACCTTGTGGTTCCCAAACAGGGTACTATAGTAACCTGGGATTTCTGGGCAATGCCTAGGGCCAGCAAGATTCCAAAGTAAAATCAAATCTCTACTATTCTTTGCACATAACTCAACAGCTGAGTGCACCTTTTGCCTGCTTTAGGAATAACTGCTGCTTGATTTGGGAAATTTAACAAGTTTCATACCAAATGACAAGTACAAAATCCAACACAAAAAAGTAACTTAAATGCCAGCCAGATAAGAAACGGGGGTGGGATGGAAGACATGGGAAAAGAAAGAAAAAACATGAAAACAAATGAGGGGGAGGGATAGGAGAGGAGAGGAGAGGAGAGAGAGGAGAGGAGAGAGAGAGGAGAGAGAGGAGAGAGGAGAGGAGAGGAGAGGAGAGGAGAGGAGAGGAGAGGAGAGTGAGGAGAGAGAGAGGAGAGAGGGAGAGAGAGAGAGGAGAGGGAGAGGAGAGAGGAGAGGAGAGGAGAGGAGAGGAGAGGAGAGGAGAGGAGAGGAGAGGGAGGGGAGGGAGGGGAGGGGGGAGGAGGAGAGGAGGAGAGGAGAGGGAGAGGAGAGGAGAGGGAGAGGAGAGGAGAGGAGAGGAGAGGAGAGAGAGAGAGAGAGAGAGAGAGAGAGAGAGGGAGAGAGGGAGGGAGGGGAGAGGAGAGGGGGGAGGGGAGGGGAGGGAGGGAGGAGAGGAGGGGAGGGAGGGGAGGAGGAGAGAGAGAGAGAGAGAGAGAGAGAGAGAGAGAGAGAGACGAGAGAGAGAGAGCGAGAGAGAGAGAGAGAGAGAGAGGAGAGAGAGAAAGAGAGAGAAGGAGAGAGAGAGAGAGAAGAGGAGAGAAGAGAGACGAGAGCGAGAGAGAGACGAGAAGG